TACGAGAGGATCCTCGACATGGACGTGAAGCTGGGCCAGGTGACCATCCGCAACCCGCGCGCCGCGCCGGGGGAGCTGCCCAAGACCTTCACGTTCGACGCCGTCTACGACGCGAGCTCCAAGCAGGCGGACCTGTACGACGAGACGGTGCGGCCGCTCATAGACTCGGTGCTGCAGGGCTTCAACGGCACCATCTTCGCCTACGGGCAGACGGGCACCGGCAAGACCTACACGATGCAGGGGGCCTGGGCCGAGCCGGAGAAGAGGGGCATCATCCCCATCTCCTTTGAGCACATCTTCACCCACATCTCGCGCTCGCAGAACCAGCAGTACCTCGTGAGGGCCTCCTACCTGGAGATCTACCAGGAGGAGATCAGAGACCTCCTCGCGAAGGACCAGAACAAGAAGCTGGAGCTGAAGGAGAACCCCGAGACGGGGGTCTACATCAAGGACCTCTCCTCCTTCGTGACGAAAAACGTCAAGGAGATCGAGCACGTCATGAACCTGGGGAGCCAGACGCGCTCGGTGGGCAGCACCAACATGAACGAGTACAGCTCGCGCTCCCACGCCATCTTCCTCATCACCATCGAGTGCAGCGAGACGGGGCTGGACGGCGAGGAGCACATCCGCGTGGGCAAGCTCAACCTGGTGGACCTGGCGGGCAGCGAGCGCCAGAGCAAGATGGGCGCCCACGGGGAGCGCCCCAAGGAAGCCTCCAAGATCAACCTGTCCCTCTCCGCCCTGGGCAACGTCATCTCGGCGCTGGTGGACGGCAAGAGCACCCACATCCCCTACAGGGACTCCAAGCTGACCCGCCTGCTGCAGGACTCCCTGGGCGGCAACGCCAAGACAATCATGGTGGCCACCTTGGGCCCGGCCTCGCACAGCTACGACGAGAGCCTCTCCACCCTCAGGTTTGCCAACAGGGCCAAGAACATCAAGAACAAGCCGCGGGTGAACGAGGACCCCAAGGACACGTTGCTGCGGGAGTTTCAGGAGGAGATCGTGCGGCTGAAAGCCCAGCTGGAGAAACGAGGCATGCTGGGGAAGAAGAGGAGAAGGAGCAGCCGGAGGAAGAAAGCGATGGACGGAGAGAACACCACGGAGAACGAAGGGGAGGATGACAATGAGGATGGCCTGGAGAAGAACATGGAGAACTACCTGAAGGAGCAGAAGGAGAGGCTGGAGGAGGAGAAAGCAGCTATTCAGGATGACCACAGCCTGGTGAGCGAGGAGAAGCAGAAGCTGCTGGAGGAGAAGGAGAAGATGATAGAGGATCTGCGGAAGGAGCAGGAGGCCACGGAGCTCCTGGCCACCAAGTACAAGGTAGGTTCAGCCACGAGCGGGCGGTTGAGGGGGGCACGGGGCC